CCTGTTTTTTTTTTTTTTTTTTTTTTTATGTAAATAGAATTAAAATTATTGTACTTTTTCTTTTTCTTTTTTTTCTTTCTTCAGAAAATCTAATTTATTTCATGCTAAACGTTTTTTTTTTTTTACCAAGTGGGGCAGTTTTTTTACTGCGGTTTTGCCTAATTATAATTTTCAAATTTTATCTCAGCGAGTTCTACTTCTTACAGCCATTGATCTGTTCATGACTTTGTGAATAATTTAATTCATGCGAATTTATTGTAGTTCATTTAGTTATCTTCATTCATTTATTATTTAATAATGTAAAACTGAAACAAAAATTTTCTATTTTATTATATTATTTTATATTTTTAGTTAAATTTGCCATCCATATATTATCACTTATTATTTTCTAACCATAGCTTGATTATTTTACTTCTAAATTATGTAAAAAATATGTTACTAATTTTTTTTTAGAAAGAAACAACTCCTCAGTCAACTTATGTATTATTATTATTATTATTATTTTTTTTTTTTGTAACATAGTTCTTCCTTTGAACTATCTTTTGAAAGATGTTAATCTTAGTCGAGTAGAAGTTAGAAGGCTTGAAAAATGTGGAGGCAAAAGTTCAATTGGAGGTTCCAAACTAACTTGATTAATTGGATTAACGCGCGATAATCAAATTGGATGGTACAACAGGGTTGGACCAAGTTAAATATAGTTGGTACAACAGGGTCGAATCAAGTTAAATTATAGTTGGTCACTTTTAGTTAAGACTTAAGTTTGTTCAATCTAAAAGTACTTTAAAGACGGAAAGTGATGAGTCAAAAGTCGAAACGAGTTAACCTACTATCACTTAAAAGCTTGTTATTAAAAAGGTTGGATCGATGTTTTTTCATAGATGCAATTTTGGAGAAGAATTTATATTAGTCCTCTAAAACTTGAAAAATAATAATCAAACAATATTGGCTTTTTTATTTCATAAAGAATAATTATTATATGTATGTTTTTTTTTATTTTAAAATTTGTTTGAGAATTTTTAAATCACTGTTATTGGTAGATAACTCATATTCAGAAGTGTTTATAAATAAAAAAAAAAAATAATAATATTTAGTCCTAGTCCTAAAATAATCAATGGAATTTCTCCATTAAATTTTAATAATGTATTACAATAAATTTAAAACAATTATTAATTTTAGGATATTAAATCATGACCCGGATGCGTTGACCCGACAACCCAATTTCGCCATTTTTCTCAAAGGAGTGTCGGATCCGTCAAAATTTATCGTACGCGGTTCGCCTGCCTTTCTCTTCGTCGGTTGCTCGCCGCAAAACCTAAACTTCGCCGGAAGATCAATCCTCCGCCGCCTCTGATCAGGCCTGCAACAAAACAGAAAAAGAAAGGATTGGAGTTATCTCATGAGGCCGTCAAGAAATCTGATCCATATCGTCTCCTCATGGGTCCGGCGACAGCCGCCGAAGGCGAAGGCCTTTTTGGCCGTCGTGCTTGGTATGGTGGCTCTGGCCGTTCTTCGGTCCGTTGTTCACGATCATGATAATCTATTTGTCGCTGCCGAGGCAGTGCACTCCATTGGAATTTCGGTTCTTATTTATAAGCTGATGAAGGAGAGGACTTGTGCTGGTAATCCCTCAATTTTGGTATCAAAATGCCCTTAGAAAAATGGTTTGTATCAATCGAGTGACTAACGAGTAAAAGTTTTTGTCAAAATTTGTATCATCGTGGGTGGATTCGGAAATCATGTCGTTGCCCGCTTGTCCCTAATTATTTCTTTTCCAGCGTTTATTTAGTTTTTAGCTGAGATGAGCTATGGGAATTCATGAATACCAATTATTAGTTACAACGAATGTTAACCTAAAGGTTTAATCTTCAAGGGACTTTTTAGGGTGCCTATCTAGTCTCTAATCCTTCATTCAAATATTTAATTTGCATACGCAGCAATTTATGAGTTCAATTTAGAGTGGTTGTACTTGTAATGTGTGGATTCTAGACCTGCACAAGTTGTTATCTCCTAGAAACTTGGCCTTGTCTGATCCATTTTGTTTTTGGTTTTACAATTATGCTTGTTTCTTCACCATTTTTAGGTAAGTTCTTTGATTTATCTGGAAGTTTTCTTTGATTCTGAAGCATATTCTGGTTCCTCAGGAATATCACTCAAGTCTCAAGAATTAACCGCTATTTTCTTGGCTGCGAGGTTGTATTGTAGTTTTGTTATGGAGTATGATATACACACCATATTAGATTTAGCAACACTGGCCACGACCCTCTGGGTGATCTATATGATCCGTTTCAAACTTAAGTCGAGCTACATGGCAGATAAAGACAACTTTGCATTATATTATGTGGTAAGGTTTCTGTTTTTTTTAGATTCCTTCTTTCTATTTTTCGGAGAAACCGACTGGTCGAAGTTTATATCATCATTGCCAAGAATATAGAAGTTTCGTTCTGTTTGCGTCTGTTCCATTGTAGCATTTGTTATTATTATCAGTTATCACTAGTTCCTTGTTCTCAGAAGCAATTTCATTGAAAGTGAAATGTAAAAACCAAGGAGAAAACACCAAGCCAGTTAGTATCGTTAATCGTGGATATTTTCTTGTGGCCATTGATCCAACGAGGTTTTTCATTGTAACTTGTGTGCAGGACTAATAAGTCGGATGCATATTTTTGTGGCTTACTAATATCTTGCCTTTACATCTTGGATGCAGCTAGCACCCTGTGCTATCCTGGCTTTACTTGTTCATCCATCAACTTCTCATCACTTTGTTAACAGAGTTTTCTGGGCATTTTGTGTGTATCTGGAAGCCGTTTCGGTCCTACCCCAGTTGCGAGTGATGCAGAACACTAAGGTATGATATTGCATAATGAACTGAATTTACTTGCTTTACAAAACTACGATTTGAGGTAGTAACGCTAAACATTTTCCCCTCTCCAACTTTCAGATTGTTGAACCATTTACTGCGCATTATGTATTTGCATTGGGTATTGCAAGATTCCTTAGCTGCGCTCATTGGGTTCTCCAGGTTTGTTTTCTATAGTCTTCTCTTGATTCTAGCATTGCTGTGTATGTGTACTTGCTTCGTTATTGATAATGCTATAGGTTGAAATTTACAACGAAAAATCTTCGCACTTGATTTTAGTTCCTCTTGAAATTTAGGCTTGTTCTTTACAATTTCTTTGGTGCTTTTTAAATCACATTTGAATTCTCTACAAAATTTTCAAAACAAGCACAAGTTTTTAAAACCTACTCTTTCTAGTTTCAAAAAATGTAACTCAGATTTTGAAAACGATTTAAACAAATAGACAGAAAAACAAGGAAATGGTGTGAAAGTAATGTTTATAGGCTTAACTTTCAACAATAAAAATATAAAAACAAAATAGTTATCAAATGGGACTTTATTGTTTTGGTTTCTTGTTCTTCTACTGCGTTGGAATTAACTGTGTTATTCCGAACGAATTAACCGTAATGCTACCTACCTCATTTTAAGTTGTATAATAAATATAACTAATTGTCCATCTCTCTTTATTTCTTCTGTCTGCAAATTCACTTTTGTGATTTGTGATGGGTGATGCATCGCTTTCTTTTCGGTAATCAGGTCTTGGATAGTCGTGGACATCTTCTAGTAGCTCTCGGATATGGTTTATGGCCATCTATGGTTCTGATCTCAGAAGTTGTACAAACTTTCATCCTAGCTGACTTCTGTTACTATTATGTGAAGAGGTCAGCACTTGTTTTTTTCCCCTTATTTTTAACAAGATACAGATCTTTCATCTTGTTTTTTATTTGGAAATTTAGACCAATAACTTTTCGTCTTAGGCTGAACCTTCTGTCTTCAAATTTTGCAGCGTTTTGGGCGGACAGCTTGTCCTCCGACTCCCTTCTGGAGTGGTGTGATGAACCATTGTTGTGTCATGTGCTTTTGTCCATAGCCAGGCCAAGTTTTTTTCATGACATGTTTGCGGGTATGTGGTTGACATTGTTATTATAACCTGAAATCACCTTGGCTGCATGTAAATTTAAACATTCAAGAAGATTGATGATTTATCAAATTTCACTACTTATACTATATCTTTCATACACTCTTAGAAGTTAGTAGTCATTGTTTACATTGATGGGAGCTTTTGGTAACATGGGCGTCAAAGTATGGAATTGTAAGATATCTCCCTACTTTATTGATATTCATAGGAAAAACTCTTACCCTTAGACAATAAAAAACTCTCATCCAATGGAGCGCGGGTAGCGATGTAGTCTTGCTACCTCTCTAGTGAATACATTGGCTGCTGATTTTGTCGTGAAGGGATGCTTGATAGCAAGGAAATAGGCTGCCTTACTCGAGCGATCACCGACCACCAAGATGTCTTCCCACACTCTCTTAGGAATGTCCAATGGCAAAAGTAACCCAGTAGGTGAAATGGCCAATGATCTGTTTCTCTGGCAAATTAAACAACCTTATTTTCTTGTCCCAGGCGATACCGTACTTCAAAATTGTTGCCCAACCGTCTCGAAACCCACCTTTTGTATCATGGTTGCGATATTCTTTGTTGTAATAAAAGCTTTAGAGGACGTCGATCAATCTTCACGCTGAACTTTTCCCCTAGCAAATAAGGTTGTCAATATTGCACCCTAACATAATGGCCATCAATTCCCTTTCTTTAATAGACTTGGCTTAAGCTTTGGAGGATAGAGTATGTCTTTAGAATGCTATTGGTTGCTTCTTTTGAGATAAGACAACTCCCAAACCAGTACCTGAATCATCAGTTTCCACCAAAAATGGTTAGCTGAAATCAGGGAGGGCGACTATGGTTCGTGTAACCATGGCTTGCTTCAATCTCTCGAATGATTTCGAGCTCGGTTGGTCCATTCAAACGCCCTTTGAGGAATTGGCCATTCCAGCTTTGTTCTCACTTTCTTGAGATCGGCCTCCACACTAACTGCCAAGATCCAATGCCTTAGATATTCAGTTTCTCTTGCATGAGTTGCATTTTGCTCTATTGGCACACAGTTGATTGTCCCTCAATTCATCAAACACCACTCCAAATGACACAGTGTTCATCATTGAAAGAGTTATACAAACCAAGATGAACTTACGTAGGAATGGTAGGAAAATGCAATTCCTCAGAACTTGGAAGGTGCATGGAGCGTTTGTGAGACCGAAGTGCGTAACAAGGAACTCGTAATGGCCCGCATGAGTTCTAAAAGCCATATTTTCTACATCTTGGTCATCTACTCGTATTTGGTGATATCGAGATTTCAAGTTCAATCTTCAAATTTATTATGGAACCATTCAATTTGTCAAGGAGTTCCTCCGCCACTGGAAAGGGGACTTTGTCTGGCATAGTCACATTATTCTGAACCATTCAATGATGTGAGTTCTACCATTGAATTCAGAGATAGTTTCATTGCATCTCCAATCTCATGGGTAACCATATTTTCAAGTTTCGATGGCACGTCTCCCTCATCAACGATTTCGAGTTCCTTTCATTCACCTAGATCACCATCGAGCAACATTCTTTTGCTTTGCACTTGTGCCCCATTGTGTAACAAACTTGTTAGAAATTTGGAAATATGAAATTAGATCAATAGGAATGAGATGCTTGGGTTTGGATTTTATATTAATAAACTTCAAACTCAAACTTAGTATGTATGTTATATTCGTGGACATCTTGTTTGTTGCTAGAAGTAATAATCATACTGATTAGATCAAAGAGGTTAATGGAGATCGTCCATCAAACTATAGTAGAGCCAACTCGATCTCCTTTTAAAAAAAGACCCGACAAGTAAATGGGAGATTAAGGGCATCCATAGAGATGAGAGAACAATTCCAACTCTCAAAATGCCTTATCCAAAGCTAATATATCCACATTCATATATTATAAGAACATTTACATTGTTTGGGTCTATTTTTCAAATGTTTTGTTCAAATACATGTTAGGTACCAATACGATCGTCGTTTAATGGAGATATTATATCAAAATCTATGTTATTTTGACAATGTAATTATTGATGACTTAGTTTTTGCTTTGGACTAATTAAATGAAAATTATTAGTCATACATTTGAGTTTAATAAAATAAATAATAAGTGAGTTTGAAATATATAAATATATATATATTATATTTTTTTACATAAATCACTTTTTCTAGAACCACTTTTAGAAAATTACCATTTTTAAGTGTTTTTCAATACTATTTAATTAATTTCGATAAAATTTAACTTTAAAAATTTGAAAATAAATAGACCAAAATAAAAGTAAAAATATGAATGAATTATGTATTTTAAAAATATTAAATATTTTAGAAAAGTTGTGGATTGGTACAATATCATTTTCAGTCATAAAAATGGTTAAATTAAAAAAAAAAAAAAAATGCCGAAGTTTTCTATCCAGTAGATTCCCGAACGCGACGGAATTGTATTGTTTCTCGGGAAAAGAAATTAACAAAAAAAAAAAAAAAACGTTTATTTTTATTTTTATTTTTCAAATTCCTCTAAAAAAGAGAGAAAATAATAAGGAAAAATCCACGTCAGCACGTAGTGGATCAGCCGAAAAAAACCAACCAAGCGAAAGCAAGCTCAAAATACTACCACTGATACAGTCTCACACACAACGACCTCTCTTCCTCCTCCTCTCTCTCTCTATCCTCAACCCATTCCCTTCTTCCATGGAGGTCTCCTTCTCTTCCAACCCTCAATTACTCACCTTCAATCCATGTCTTCCTCTCAATTCCTCTTCCTCCTTCTCCTACACTCGCCTCCGCTTCGTTCGCCGCCAGTTTCTTGGTTCTGCTCATAATCTTCGCCCGCCGGATGTTCTGCGCTCTCGTCGTAGGTGCAGGAAGGTTGGCTTCCTTGTTCAGTCTCCGAGATGCATGTTTCGTGCTGCCTTCACTTCCAATCCGGTTCTCATCGTTGTTGCTGTGGTTACTTTCTCGGCTGTTTCGTTTATCTATATGAACTTAAATAAGAGGAAGAAGAATGCGGTTGAGGTATGGGGGAAAAATTGATTTGGAGTTGCTTTTTTGTTGTTGTTGTCGTCTACTTATTCGCTATTTGGTGAATGTCTTTCCTTTTCTTTTAAATGTTTGGTTATTCGTAGCTGCTCTTGGAAAATGAACGGAGATGATCAAGAGAGTGATTCTTGTTGTCTATTTTGCATTTCTTCTTTCTTTTTTAGTCGTGTTTTCTTGTAGAAGATGTATATTAGGATAATTTAGTTGATTCAGAGATAGATCAACGTACCAGATGCAAAAATGGCTGTGCGGTTGACAGTTTACCTTGCTTGATGAGTTTAATGGCGCGAAACTGTTCCTAATATTTGATAATTGAGTTAGCTATATTAACAATTTCCGAATCCTTAATTTTTTTCTTTTAAGATGCTTTTGCTTAAGTTATGGAATTTTTATCATATTTAGTCCACTAGGTTTGAAGCAGAACATGGTATTCCTAGTCTCATACATAAAATGTGAATGTGAATGTGAGTTGATATCCGTGATTTTCATGGGTTCAACAATTTACTTTGTTGGATTGATTCATCTGTCATTGTATTGTGGAGATAACTTGTTTTTCTGGATCTTTTACCGATTACAGCGTTCTCAATCTCCAAAGCTTGCCTTATCTCAACTAGGTAGAGGCGTCAACTGGTCCGTCGATGATCAGGTAATGGGCTTTAGGGATCATCATGGTGACTTCTTAGAGCAGAACATAGCCGTAAAGGATAGAACTGAAGAGAGAAGTAATTCTGGGGAAGAAGAGACTGTTCTGCATCTTCAAACATCAGTTTTGTCACATGAGGCCAATGTCACCGAAACATTGCCGCCATCTGTTGAATTTACCACTTCTAGGGATAGTGGTTCTCTGTTTTCAGATGAAACTGAAGCAGCAGATCCTTCTCTTCCTTCTGATATCTTTGAATCTGGCGTCCTGCAGCCTCTTATTTTTGCCAACGACATGACTGACTTGCAGCTAAATGTATCTGATGTCAAATCCCACTCTGACTTGGCCGTTGTGCTTGATACAACTGAGCTTCCGCCTGTTTCTGGTCCTTTATATAGTGTATATAATCAAGTGACTCAAGATTTCAAAGCAGATGGCGAGCTTCTAAAAGTGGAGAAGTTAATCGGTTCCAGTTTTCTAATTGAAGAACCGTCTAGAGAAGATATTTACATGTTCTATGAAGATACAAAGTCAAGTAGTCAAATGGCAACTTCTTCTCGTACTTCTCATCTATACAACCAAAAATTTTCTTCTGTGACGATTAACGGTATCTCAAGAGGAGCAGAATTAATGTTGGAGGATTCTCTTCAAATTGCAGGTAATGACTTCAATAGGTTCGTGATGGTCTTACCTTGTTTCTCTGAGCAGGCAGCAAACGTGAATTGCTTTTCTTGTAACCCAACATTATTTCCTCAAAAATCTTTGCATCTCCTCATTCCATGTTTCATTTCACTAGCGAATGTTTGTACAACTTAGGATATGTTGAAAGAAGAGAACCTGTTGCAAGATATAAGGGAGGTTCTTCAGGGGACAAAAATAAATCTGGAGGGGGCAACAATATTGTAGGACACGGAGAAAGAAAAGAAGCCAGCCTGCATAAAGAGAAAGTTGTGAATGGGTTACCCTATCCAAATGGGAAGCATGTTCATAACAAAAATCTTCATGTAGATCAATATAAAGCGTACAATCAATGTCTGAAAGGTGGAAGGTATGTTTGTTTCGATTTTTCATGCATCATGCATTCAATATTTCTTATCTTCTGTATCATGTTGTACGGTTGAAGATTGCCTTTAATNAAAAAAAAAAAAAAAAAAAAAAAAAAAAAAAAAAAAAATCTCCAGGACACCCTCACTCCCCAATCACGATAGAAGTCTGCATTCATTTATGTCTTCAACTAGTTCTGAAAGCCTTTGTACATTATTTCTTCTTATTTGTGGTTTTCTCAGGTTGAACGAATGTATCAAAATACTTCAGGATATGGAAAAAGCAGGCTTATTGGACATGAATAAGGTAAAATGTGTATTACTTTTTATTATTATTTTTCTTATCTGAATTACCAGTAACTAATTTAACGATTTTTCTGGTTGTAGATTTATCATGGAAAGTTTTTCAATATTTGCAAGAGTAAAAAGGCTGTTCAGGAAGCTTTTCAGTACACCAAACTTATTGCAAACCCCACATTGAGTACATTTAATATGCTCATGTCTGTATGTGCAAGTTCTCAAGATTCTGACAGTAAGTTAATGTACTATTTACTATCATCCAACTGTTTGTCTGGAAATAATCTCGAGTCTTCTACTATGAACAACCATCATTCTCTTAGGATTCATAATTTATGCATTGTAAATTTAGGAGCTTTTCAAGTTGTGCGGCTTGTCCAGGAGGCTGGAATGAAAGCAGATTGCAAACTATACACTACTTTAATCTCAACATGTGGCAAAAGTGGAAAAGTGGATGCAATGTTTGAGGTATGGTATCTTTCATTTTGGCTACCTGTTCTTAGGTTTCACTAATGCTTAAACTATCCCATTGGAGCTTCCTTAATGTACCCAATATGTGTTCCTTATATGTAACGAAGTTTCGTTTGATTTATTGATATATCATTTTGAACTATTGAATTTGGTTTAAATGTTTTTACCTCCTGTTATTTATTTATTTTCCATTTATTTTCGCTCTATTTGGAAAGAAAATGTACTAAATTTTTCATTACTTTAAACACAACAGTTGAAGCATCCGTGTCTTTCATGTCAGTCTGAAATTCCGCTAGCAGTGAATTTGAATCTTGCTCATTCTTATAATTTGTGCATCCAACATCTCAAGTGCTTCTCCAATGCGAAACAATTTTTTCAATACGTTTGCTACTTCGAAATTAGGGAACAGTGCTTTCAAAATTTCCCATTTCCATTTTCAGATACTTGAACGAAGCTTTATATGTCTTAAAAAGAGTTCTATTTTTTTTTTTTTTTTTTTTTTTTTTTTTTTTTTGCTTCTAGGTATTCCACCGAATGGTTAATGCTGAAGTGGAACCTAATGTTCACACATATGGGGCACTTATTGATGGTTGTGCAAGAGCAGGTCAAGTGGCCAAGGCATTTGGCGTATATGGAATAATGAGGTCAAAAGTATGACCACAGATCTAGTCGTTCCTTTTTTTCTCATTTTATATGGTCTTATTTGTTACTTACATTTAACAAATTATGTCATAAGGTTGAATGTTCAAGTTGTATTCTAACAAAAAATAGGGCTCTTGCTGATAAGATATTCTGTGCAGTAGAACGTGAAGCCAGACAGAGTTGTATTCAATGCACTTATCACTGCATGTGGTCAGTCAGGAGCAGTGGATCGTGCTTTTGATGTGCTGGCCGAAATGGGGGCTGAGCTACATCCTATAGAGCCTGATCATTTTACAATTGGTGCTTTGGTCAAAGCATGTGCAAATGCTGGTCAGGTATGTTTCATTAAATTTAAAGATTTCTTGAGTCATTCAATTCTTCTCTCTCCAGTTACGTTGTTGATGTCGTTTTATAAGCGTAAAAGAATCATGCATTTCTTATAGGTTGATCGGGCAAAAGAAGTGTATAAGATGATCCATGATTGTAACATTAAGGGAACACCAGAGGTTTACACCATTGCTGTTAATTGTTGTAGTCAATCTGGTGATTGGGACTTTGCTTCCACTGTATATCAAGATATGACCAGGAAAGGAGTAAAACCTGATGAGGTATGTATTACTGATGGCGATCATGAATGATTCAGACTAGAGACAATAAGTTGGGGTCTGAGCGTCTCTTCTTTTGAATATTTATGTTAGAGTGGTTTCAGATAATTAAACAACTTGATCCAGCTATAAAGTGTGAGAAAGTTGGATGAAAAAGTTCTTTCAAGTTTTTGGATAGTCTTCTTTGTGTACTATTATATCAGCTGCTTTTAGATTCATACATTGAGGTGCTAATTCTAGTATACAATATTTCATGCAGATTTTTTTCAGTGCATTAATAGATGCGGCAGGCCATGCTGGTAAGCTGGATTCTGCTTTTGAAATCTTAGGAGAAGCCAAGACACTGGGGATACGTGTTGGCATTGTATCATATAGTTCGTTGATGGGTGCCTGTAGCAATGTGCGTATAGTAACTGCTTTTTCTTTTTGTTTAATATTCACGAGCATGCTGGAAATTTTTAGATTCATTAAAAAGGTCTGATTTTATGCATGTCACCGCTTGAATATTTTTTCTGTTTGCATTGGTACTCTCTCTCTCCTGGAAACACTCTGTTTTGTTGTGTTTTGATAGTCTGTTTCGTTTGTCTTCTTTTATTTTTATTTTTTTAAAAAAAGAACAATATAATGTTATAAAAGTAACGAGCTCTATCCAAGTATTTGGTTTCCCAAAAGATTATGAGTTCTATCCTGACTTCAAAAGATTCATTTTAGGTTCTTATAATCATAGTTTTTCCCACATCTGATACTGATTAGTGATATGAACGCAGAAAGCGTATTTGAGTATGGCTCATCATTTGTAGCTGTTTCATTTATGGAAGTATCTGTTGTGCTGTCTAGGAGTGAAATTAAGTATGAAATTTTCTGTGTTACTAAATTAACTGTGAGATAACTTCTCAATCATCGTTTCAGGCTAAAAACTGGCAGAAGGCGTTGGAACTGTATGAGGATCTCAAGTCTACGAAATTGAGGCCAACTGTTTCAACTGTGAATGCATTAATAAATGCACTGTGTATGTCCCTTTTTTGCTACGTTCTGCTCTCAATAATCTGATGGAAGTTAGCATTGATTATCATTTTTAATCATAAGCGTCATATCATCACTTTTTAAGCTCTTGCATTCTAAGTTTCTCTATTTTTATTTTTATTTTTTTTGTCAAAATACATTCTCTGTCTTTGTATTTTGACTTTTGGTCCTCATTTTTTTTGCTTTGATTTAATTTTCACTTTTAAGAAGTGTAAGGATAAAGCTCCCAGCATTAAAGAAAACTCTTGAATTTACCATTTACCCATTTCTTGTTTGTGAATACTGAATAATACCCTCTACTAATTTTGTTATAGCATGTGTACATCTTTTTTTATTTTTTAATAAGACATGGGTACATCTTTTGTTTCTTGGCTCATTGGAATCATGGATCCAAAAAACACAGCCTTAGGTTTCTCCCTATCTTTTAACGTCAAGGACTTAATTATTATATTTATGAAAAATATGTGTTTTGGATTTGAGAATTTTTATTTGCATTTCTTGAATGAAAAGCTCAGAATTCATTGTGCTCCTTAGATATCGAAAAATGCATTTAACGACTATGAGCCAGGTAGAAACAGGGGTATGCATATATTGTGAAATACTCGCAGCATAAAGTGTCTAGTGCTATGAAGGTTAAGTTAGGAAATGCACCAACAATTCCCTGTAATATCTAGCTTCCTCGACGGGATACAACTTAGAAGAGTCAACTAGAGTCTTGGGAATAAAGAGTGTCTTACATGGTTCTGTACTAGCCATACCAAATCAAGATACAATAGTACAAACATATTTAAATTGAGACACTATAGTAGCGGCATTATTACATTGAATTTTCCAAGCTCAGAAGTACTTCTAGGAACCAAGATGAGGCCTATCAATTTGAGCTGTAGTTGAGAAATAGTATTAATATCGATTGGACATTACGTGTAATTGTTATGTAATCAACATACAAGAGAAGTTATTAAACCAGCACTCACAAATAGAGAGGGTTTGGTTTGAGAAGCAGCAAAATCAAATGTCAATAAATGGAGTGTGAAACATTCAATGCACATACACTTGAACTAATTCAACTAACATTTGTTACATACGATTAAAATAATGTGCATTGCTTCTAAAAGATAACATTAGAATTTCGCATACAGGTGATGGGGAACAACTACAAATGGCTATGGATATTCAGAGAGAAATGAAGGGATTAGGACTCTACCCTAACAACATTACATACTCTATACTTATGGCAGCAAGTGAAAGGTAAGTAAAACTGGCTTAGTTTTGCTACAATGATGTTAATTTAATCCTCATTCTCAACGGTATCTTTTTCTCAATTGTCTTCAGGAATAATAATTTAGAAATTGCCCTCGAACTCCTCTCTCAAGCCAAAGAGGATGGTGTTGCCCCAACTTTAACTATGTATAGGTGCATAATTGGTAAGTTAATAGGATTCAGCTGTCTACTCCTGTTTTTTAAATCATAAAAAATGCTCGTATTTTCTATTTTGTAGTCTACTGATTGTTATATTGTCTACTTACCAACAGTTTATAAACAATAATACGTGTTTCTTTTTCAGATGGTTTATCCTAATTGTAATGAAGAATAAAATAACACACGTCTTTTCAACTTATCATGAATTTTAACTACTTTTTCTCTCTGATTCTGAATACCTATCCGAGTTTCAAGAATATTTTCTTGCTAATATCTTCTGAAAAGATTGTCTTAATTTTAATTGGTTAGCTTGTTTCATTTTCAATTAATCTTTATTCAGATCTTGTCAAAGGCATGTGTCTAACGAAGAATTGCAGAGCCCTCTGCCCTTGATAGACCACTCTTTTCTCTAGTTAATTGGTTTTTTTTTTTTGTATTTCTGACTAATCTATAAGCTGATCTTTTCTAAGGCATGTGCTTACGAAGAGTTGCAGAGCCCTCTTCCCTTGATAGACCGCTCTTATCTCTTGACACTAGCTGGCCTCAAGTCGATAGTAAGTGGTATGACTCTTCGACTTTTGTAATTCATTTACTAGACTAGTTTTATAGTCTACCGAAAATAGCATGTTGACTTCTTATTTAATCATCTCATGGTACTAGAATACCAAGTATCATAAACCACTACCTATGGATAATGCAGTGTAACTTGTGAGATAATTCACTACTCAAATATTTTTTTTCTCAGGGCAGCACAGGCCTTAATGGTGTACCGGCAAATAATCGAAGCCAGAATTGTTCCGAGCATTGAAATCTTGTCTCAAGTTTTGGGGTGCTTGCAGATTTCTCATGATCCCTCCTTAAAACGTAGACTCATAGAAAACATTGGAGTAAGTGCTGACACATCAAGATCTTCAAATCTAAGCTCCTTGATAGATGGCTTTGGAGAATATGATCCTCGCGCATTTTCACTGTTGGAGGTCTGTGCAAACTTGAAGCTGATTCCATAGTCTTGCTGAAAATTTTCAATTTCTTAAATTGTTAGAAGGGTCATATTTTGTTATTATATTTACCCCCCTCCCCTCCATCAAAATGCAGGAAGCTGCTTCACTTGGAGTTGCTCCATTTGTATCCCTCAAGGGAAGTCCTATTGTTGTAGATGTCAAGGAGTTGCAGATTCATACAGCTGAGGTATGATTTTTTAGATTATGAAATAATTGATACTTCACGTATTCTACAATGCTCATGAAATGACAACTTCAATGTGCTTTTGTTCCGAAATTATTTAACCGCTTGGAATCATTGCGTACTAAATAAAACTGTACTCTTCTTGTATTGAACTTTGAGTTAGATATTTTCTACGTATGAGCTGTCGTTTATATACTAAACTTTATGTTTTCTAGTCGAGAGATGAGCTAACTGATAAAGCCCAGAAAGAGAAACAAAAGATTAAAAATGCCACCTGCATTGAAATAGCATTTGGAAAAAAAATTTATGCCATATAAATGTAAATTAATATATAAAAAAATATTTGGACTCTGTTCGATAATCATTTAGTTTTTTAAAATTGTGCTTCTTTTTTTACCATTTCTCTACAATAATTTTCATATTTCTTTAGAAAATATTTAAATTTTAAACCAAATTTCAAAAACAAAAATAGGGTTTTTTTTTTTTTTTTTTTTTTTTTTTTTTTTTTTTTTTTTTTTTTTTTTTTTTTTTTTTTTTAGTTTTTTTAACTTTTCTTAAAGCATAGGTAAAATATAGATAAATTAAAGAAAGAAATTTATTGGTGGAAGTAGTGTTTATAAGCTTAATTTTTAAAAATTAAAAATTAAAAATTATGCGAATATCAACTTGAGTTTGAAGTAGTACGTAAGAAACAATATATATATATATATATATATATATATATATATATATATTTTTTTTTTTTTTTTTTTTTTTTTTTTTTTTTTGAAAGAAGCCATCATTAATGATCTATTTTCTAGGCAGCAGAGCCAGTTTTCCACTATATTGCTTGCTTTTCTTTTTGTGTGGATTCAAGTGGTCCTTTTTGCTTGTAAAAAAATATATATATTATTTTGTACATTTGTCCAACAATGAAATGGAAGTTTGTGAGCTCGCAATACTCTTGATTGAATCAGTATTGATGATCTTCAGAGTTTTATCTTTCCGTTTACTCCTCATAGTCATAACCAACACAAACTTTTGAGTAGAAGAGCATGTGTGAAAAAAATTCACAATTCGTTATGACTGAAATTGTTATTAAAATCCTGCCAGGTTTACCTGTTGACAGTTTTGAAAGGTCTCAAACATCGGCTTGCCGCTGGTAAATGACTTGCACATCTTTAGTCTTTTATCTCCTAGTTACTAATGCACTCAGTTATTATACGTAGTTGTTTACAATAACATGAACTCATCCATATTTTTTTTCAACTTCTTAATGAGATTGTTAGTAAGTTAAATGGATTTTACCTGCTTGGTTTCTTCGTCGTATTAGGCCATCAAATGAAAATCTATCATGAAGTTGAAGCTAAATTTTAAGATATTTTTCTAGGATTCTCCTGTGCTTTTTTCCTAGAAGTATTCTTTTTTTGAAGTCGTGCATCTTCTATATATAACCATCTTAATTCTCTGCTTTAAATATTGAAGTAAAGATCTCTATAACTTCTTTCTTTTTGGACAATAATAATTATTAAGTTAAAATTTATAAATGAGATCTTATTGATTCAATGGATAGAGTTATTATATTTTCTTTTTTCTAAACTAATGGAGATACTTAACACTACTTGGTGATGCGGGCTAAGCACTTTTGTATTCTGATTAAACTTCTTTTGTTCAGGTTCAAAGTTACCGAACTTACTGATCTTACTGTCAGTTGAGACGACACAAATTCTCTCTTCCAAGGGCGAGAGGACCATTAACCTTGCTGGAAGGTGAAAAGATCGAACTTGGTTTCTTTTGCCTCCTTATTTTTTCATTCTGAGTCGTGAGTTCTAAACTAGTATGCAACTTAAACGATCTTTACCCCTAAACGGAAGTCTCGGCTTGTTAACGTGCTCTAGGGCGACGTTTAAATTTCCCGCACAGATGAAATGATCATATTGTTAACCCAAATATACTGGTCTACAGGGTTGGACAAGCAGTTGCAGCATTGTTAAGAAGACTTGGACTTCCCTACCAAGGAAATGAATCAAGTGGAAAAATCAGAATCAATGGTTTAGCCTTGAGAAGATGGATGCAACCAAAACATTCCGATTCTCGAATCGGAAAACCTGGAGAGTTCAGCTTGTTTCAGTCACGTCTAGGAAAAGAAATAAGCCATCAGCAACGTAATATTCGCTCTGGGCATCTCTCACTGGATTAAACAGGTATGCAAAAACATTAAGACAGCTTAGGAATGTCTGATGCATTTTGCTACCATAAACTGTTGAAACCAGTGACCTTCCACACCACTTTAATCCAATCCAACCGCATGTTTAGAACTTTCTCATAAATGTTAGAATAAGTAGCCTACTGGTTCTCTCAATGGAAATTCTAGTTGAGGGGGACGTATGATGCGGTATAGAGCTTTCGGTTTCGTGGCAAATTCATGGGAAGAGAGGAGCAATTTGCAGACCTTGATGTGAATGGATCTTACTGGAAAATGTTTCTGGTCAAGAAGTTCATCACCAAAGTTGGTACTCCAATTATGTGAGTTGATCTTCTACTTCCTTTCCTGAGGTAATTTATATTATATATACGAAATGGTTGTCAAATTTTGTAATGCCAAAACATATGACGACTTTATCAATTCATCTTTCTTTCCTTCTATTTTTGGAATGAGATGTAAAAATGTAAACTATTACTAAAATTTATTCACCCATGAGTTTGTTCACACATTTTCTTACCCTTTCGCCCGCTCAAACTAATGGATCCAGTGAAGAAATTCGGGTACGTTTCTCCTTATTTATTGCATCTTCTAGTATGATTATTATTTCGATGAAAGGTAGACCTATTCTTTGCTCGTTATCTTAGAGGTTGGATTGGATGAACATTGTTTGTTTTCTCATTGCTATCAAATTGTTCTCTTGGATTAAATTTAGGGTCTGTCTCCTTTTTTGCATTAGGTATAGGTTCATGATGTATGAACTGAGTTCAAGTATAGAGAGTTGAAAAATCTGGATTTATTTACTATGTCTTTGAATGGTAGAAAGGAATGAGTTACAGAAATAATGTCATTCGATTTCTCAGCAGACCTAACATAAGCTCACTTGAAAACGCATTTTAAAAATAAAGTAGTTTCGGGTGCATTTTAATCGGTTAGCAATATTTCTAATGCTCTTTTTTACTTTTAGGCTTGAATATTTGCACAAACCCTAAAAAACTTAAGAGAGGAATTAACATTACAAGAAATATAACTTTAATCTTTTATCAATACTTTAACACTTCTACCATTAATGAACATTCTAATTTTGGTACAAGGATTCTTCATGTTTTTGGTATTGAAATGGAGTTCTACACATAGCTTCATCTATATAAAATATTGGGCCTCAGTTGTCAAAGATATCTACTTAGCCTTATGATGGAAAGTAAAGCTGTTAGGAAGTTAGAAATTCTTCTCCATTTTTGTGAAAAGATTTAAAACTTTCAACTTTCTTGATGCAATATTTGAGCTCTTGTTGGATGGCTATCCTTGAAGGTGACAATACAATGTCTTTCCAAACTGATCCAGCTTCACAAACAGGACTAGGATCTTTATAAAGCTCAATTATGGAGCTTGCTTCCTCATTTAAGCTCCCAACAGTTTTTAGACACTTTATTTCTTCTGGATCAACCAACAATGTCTTGTCTTTGTCTTTCCATCCAATGAACTTCACATAGAAATGTTTTTAAAATCAATAAATAACAAAAAGAAGGAAAAAAAAAGGTCATCATAAACCTTTTACAAACAAACCCCATTCGATTAGTTGAATGGAAAGAAATATTTGATGAGTTAAATGAAGAAAAAAAATTGATAATACGTAATCGAATGATCCAAGACTCGTCCATTATAATTCGATCTATGGATCGGAGAAGTTTTTCATTGATAGAAACAATGATCAAAGATTGGACTAATAGAACAAATATGAGAGAATCCCACGTTGACTGAGGAGGAGAACGGATCTTTATAAAGGTGTGGAAACCTTTTCCTAACATACACGTTTTAAAGTCTTGAGGGGAAGTCCAAAGAAGACAATATCTGCTAGCGGTAGACTTGGGCTGTTACAAATGGTATCAGAGCCAGACACCGGACGATATGTCAGCGAGGAGTTTGTTCCTCGAATGGGGGTAGACACGAGGCGGTATGCTAGTGAGGACGCTGGGCCTCAAGAGGGTGGATTTGGTGGGGGTCCCACATCAATTGGAGAAAGGAATAAGTGCCAGCGAGGATGCTGAGTCCTGAAGGGGGTGGATTGTGAGAATCTCACATTGGTTCGGGAGGAGAACGAAACATCCTTTATAAGGGTGTGGAAACCTTTCCCTAGCATACGCGTTTTAAATCCTCGAGGGGAAGCCCGAAAGAGAAAGCCCAAAGAAGATAATATCTGTCAGCGGTAGACTTAGGTCATTACAAAACACTATACTAAAACAAATCGAAATGTTAATGTTCGATAACCATTTGATAAACTTATAAATACTATTTCCATCTATGAGTTTCTTGTTTTGAAAACTAAAAATTCTTACACTTCGATTCGTTAAGAAAGATGAAAATCGAGCAAACCAACACGATTTTCAAAAGAAAGAAAATCGTTATCGTGAAAACAGAAAGAACTATAGGGTTAGGTTATGATAGACTGGGAGGTACCTTTGGTGGGCCTTCCAAAGCATTGGTGCAATATAGCCTTGCAGTATCAACATATTGACAATATGTTAGGAAAGCATTTGCAAATCTCTTGTGGGATTTCAGTTGAGATTTTACTCTTACTGCTCTTCTACACATTAGAGCTCTCCTGTTTTACAGTCAGTTTAGACAGTGATTATCTCAGCAAATGAGGAGAAAAAGGGAAAGAAAATTTCAGTTTTATGCATACCTTATGCCTCTTGTGACAGCTAAATAAGCATCACAAACAACTCCAACAAGTTCAATTCTGTATGGTCTTCTTTTCTTGCCCCCAACTCGATCTTGTTCTTGATCTTCTACTCGTTCCCAATAGTTTTCGGTTACAGTGCCATCGTCCTCGACCCTATAGCCAACTCCCATTCGATAACGTCGGCGGTGGACGTTTCTAGCCATCGTAATTGTCTGTACTACGAACGGTACCCACGACAACGTTCCATCCATGATTACGTCTCGTCCCTCGTTCAATGCTGTCACTAGAAGTGATGAAGCTGCATCTGTGGATGATTGGTGTACCTGTTTCAAACATCAAAGAGTATAAACACAATGCACCAAGGTCGCCACTATATGCATGTCATAAATATTGAGTGCGGAAATTTTAGGTCGTAAAAATGGTACCAGTTCTGCTGTTTGGAGCATGTCATGATGGTGGCCTGTTGAGTTTAGAGCTCTATAAATTACATCTGATTCTTTAAAAGCATCTGCCTCAATTACTACTGCATTAGGTCCTGCTCCTACCCAGAAGGGCCTGTTGAACATTTAATCCAAAATAATGAATATCAGTTCATCTCTTTGCTGAAGAAATTTGATATCATTTTCATAATCCAAGATGAACATTCTTACTCTTTGAGAATGTCCTTGAGCACAGTACTCTTCCCTGCCCCCATCCCGCCGCCCATGAAGAGGAGCATTGGACTTCTATCGGCGTGAGCCATCGGAACCATCACCTCGGTGCATTGAGAGTCGTCGGTGGATGCGAGTCCCATTGCTTTCATCTCCTCAACTAAAGTTGTAAACACTCTTGCAACTTTCAGGTTCTTTGTCACCCTTTGAAACCTCTGTTCCCTAACAATATCACAAAAATGATATGGATGTAAGTGAAGGCTGTTTTTCTATGATGATTTGAAAAGAGTAAGTTCATTGGTAATTTCATTGCTAAGATTAAGTAAGTCAAAAGTTGGTTGAGCACGCAAGTGTTAAGCTTTTCGCAATGGTACGATATTATCCACTTTAAGCATAAGCTCTCATGACTTTGATTTGGGTTTCTCCTACAGGCCTCATACTATTGGAGATGTATTTCTTACTTATAAACTCATCATCATCCTCTAAATTAGCTAATGTGGGACTCCCTCCCAACAATCCTACCCTCAAACAAAGTACACTATAGAGCCTCCCCTGAGGCCTATGGAGCCTATGGAGCCCCAACAACCTCCTCTTAATCGAGGCTCGACTTCTTCTCTAGAGTCTTAAAACAAAGTACATCCTTTGTTCGACACTTGAGCCACTTTTGACTACACCTTCGAGGCTCACAACTCTTTGTTCGACATTTGAGGAATCACTCTGTTAGGAATCACGGAGTATAGGAGTACAGGACTTTCGGTTTAATGAGCATAGCCCAACTTTTTAATGCATACCCTCAATAAGGTGAGAGAAGCCCACCTGGTTGCAGCCATAACAATGTTTCTAAGCTTCTTCTTTGGCTCCTGGTGATCAGAACTCAAAATCTGGACAAACCAAACAAAAAAGAAGATGAACCTCCATTGAGACATTTCATCAAACACCTTATCTACAATCCACACGTACCTGGCTAATCATAATATCCGTTTGATTCCAATGGAACGCAAAGTAGCTGAGAATGCATCGTTCAAATTCTTCAACAAGTTTGACAAAGAGAGAATCAGCGTGCAGCTCACTTGAGAAAAAGGAATAGATATCATCTTCACATTCGTCGGATTTGGCTATGTACTCTGAGGCTAACTTGCAGAGATGTGGGCACTCATTTATATCCTTAAATCCCATTTGCCTTGCTACAAAAGCACACAATTTGTCAACTCAAACAACCATACATCAACCATTTTTGTGTAAAACAAATGAGAATGGATGTGAATTCAAATGAAAAGTTGTGGGATTGAAATATAATTTCTACCCGAACTACTTTCAATCGAAAAATAAGGTGCATTAAGTTGACTTTTATAGTTTAGTCAACTCAGACATGAATTAGGTGCATTCGGGTTGACTTTTTAGATGTTAGTCAACTCAGACATGAATTAGGTGCATTCGGGTTGACTTTTTAGATGTTAGTCAACTCAGACATGAATAAAGGTGCATTTGGGTTGACTTTTTAGACTTTAGTCAACTCAAACATTAATAAATTTGCATTGGGGTTGACTTTTAGACTTTAGTCAACTCATACATGAATGTGAAGATGAAATTTAACATTTAGACACTGATTTTTAAGGAATTTCATTAAAAAAAATTTGAAAATTTCTATTTTTGAAATCTTTTCAAGTGTTTATAGAGCCAACGGGCAACAAGAGTAGCAAATAAGTGCTTGGTAGGCCAACAACCTAGTAGACCGACGAAAAGGGGAACATATTGAGCAAGTCCGAGAAAAAAAAAAATTTAGTGATAGTATTTGGTTTTTAAAGGCTATTTTAATCCATTAAAAACACCCTTTCTTTCTTTTTTTTCTTTTTTTTTTAATTAAAAGTAGAAAAACATTTGAATATTTAATGTTTAGGACATAAATATAATAATGTTTTAAACCATTAAATTTAAATATGTTGAAGTAATCAATTTAACACGTGGGTTATTGAAAAATGAAAAATACAAGAAATAATAGTTGAGATTGATAAAAATAAATAAATTATTGTTCAAAAATTCCTAACAAAAAATTTTAAATCGAATAAATATAATTTTTTTTTATGATATAATCCACATCATCATAAGTTATAAAAAGTAAACCATAATTTATGGACTTTGTAATTTATTTAAATAAAAATTCGTATTTTTTTCTAAAAAATAATATTATTATCTTGATATTGACTAAAGTTTTGACATTTAGAAAGTCAATTTTTTTTTTTCATATTTTTAGAAAATGGGATTAAAAAAAAAATAATAAAAATAAATATATATATATATATTGCTAAGTTATAAAAAAAAAAATTAAGTGTAATCTTTACCTACATAATGGGGAAAGCTCTCGAGCTTTTCAACGCGGCCCGTATCCGAGACTTTCAATCGAGGGATGATCTTTTGATCCCGTAGCTTCCTTATTCGATAATGCATTGCTGCAATGATGATCAATCCAATCGAAGAAGCCCAAACAATCTGCGCAAAGCTCGGTTTGCTGCCGCTATCTGTAAGAAAATCCGACACAAGCCACAAATCAAACCGAATCAATTCAAAACCTGGCGAAAACGAAAGAGAAGGTAAATCCATTCCTTGTATATCATACTGTAATCCTACCTTTCTGCATGTTTTTTTAATTTTACGAAATGGCTTCGACTTCGAAGTTGTTCTCTCTAATTTGCGATCGACCGAGAGAAGAATAAGAAGAAGGTGGATGCAGGAACATTCTGTTCAATTCGTTTGAATTGTTTTTGCGGTTGCATGTTACCTCTGTGTAGTTTATTCGATACGTCAGAATGAATAGTGAGATTGTTAGAGTAGAATCATCAATTTGCCTTCAATGGGATAACTTATTTCTTGTTCTTTTAGTTTGAGCTTTTCAATAGCTGGAGCTGCATTTGCTATTTTGGGTCGTTTTTTGGTAGAATTTGAAGATGACAAAGAGAAGAAAACTAGAAATATCGATGGCTATTTATAGGCTAAACTCAAATCTCTAGAAATGTTATTTGATCTAAAATTGTTTATTTATAGTTAATATTTCTTTGTGGTGTAAAATTATATCCTCAGTAACCACTGATTAGTATGTGGTTAGTAATTCTTGGTCAATTTTTATGGTGTGATTTTCTTTCATTTACTTGATGAAACTTTGGAATTTCATAATTTCTTTAAATTGTGTTAGCTAATAACTTTATAAATACGAATAAATAGTTTACAGTTTCTACTTTTAAGACGAGAAAGTGCATGGAATTTGGAAGTAGATTCCCATCCTGACTTGGTGAAGTTGTTTGTTGTATCTAGCCTTCTTCCCATTGCTGAAGAACTTGTTGAGGATTGTTGGGAGGGAGTCCCACATTGGTTAGTTTAGGGAATGATCATGGGTTTATAATTAAGGAATACGTCTTCATATCTTATCATCTACTGCATGTCAAAAATGTCAAAAAATATCTCGAATCAAATTTGGTGGCAGCCCCCTTCTTTCCCTTTGCTAAATTTAGTAGCGGGCATGTTCTCTTCATGGTGACGAGGTTCATTCCTGGGTGTGGCAACTCTGAGCTGGCGAGGGGATTAGTAGCGTCAATTGGCTAAATTGGCCCTCGAATCTCAGCAGGATTCATGATGAATTCTTCAATACCTAACTTGGAAGTTCATGGTGTGATTTTTAAAAGTGAAATATTTGAAGTTGTGTTGGTGGCATCTGAGCGTTCAAGTGTGTGGTTTATTATAAAGGTCTTAAAAGCTTGTGAATTTTGATTACTGTGAATTTCTCTTCGACTGTTTTTTATTTCCGAGGAGTTCCCTTGTGTTCTTTGCATTTATTCTTTCTCCTTCCATTTTTTTTTCTCGCATTTACTTAGAATAACTGAAGCACTTATTGAAATTAGATGCAGAAGCGCCTTCCATTATGTTAAAGCAACGAGAGAAGAACAAGGAACTAATAAAAATTGAAATTCATGAGCTGAAGAGATTTTTTTATTTGAGAAGAATGTTGCTTTCATTGCTCAAACCAAGTCACTGTACAGTATTATCCTATTCTACTTTCTAAAATGTGAGGTGACAAAACTGTGATCAAGAACATTTTCTTTTTGTTCTTTCAATTTTCAGGATGTGTGCAGTCTAGAAGTGAGATTTAGGGAGGCATCTTCTCTGCACGGAATTGTCAAACCGCCCATCGGATGGCAAAATCCAAATTCTTCTTCTGATCTATTGAGCAGATCTACAAAAGAAGGATGCTTCAGGTATGATATTGGAACCACAAATCTTTTCCTTTGAATCTCTCCAACTTAGACTGCAATATGGCCTTTGGGAACATCAGATTGATTTCTTGCAGACATAGCTTGCATTTTCAGAATCTGCTTGGCATTAAGAAGAATCGATGGCAAACGAAATCCCATATTGAAAAAAGAGAAGTGTGAGCGACTTTGAACGGTATTCTGCTTATATGGATTTAAATGTAGGAAATAGAGAGTACTTGTTGGATGAGCATAGCATTATTTCGTATGTGTATTTATAAACTAGGAACTGGAGAGAACGAAGGAGTAAAGCAGATAGGAGTCTGAGAGGTCCTACTTCTCCAAAGGTTCACATGGGTTTGCTCTATCCATTAAAATTTTAATCATTCCTCTCTGATCCCACTTTTTCCAGTAATAAGCGGCCAATAAAATTTCACCAAGTTCGTCAATATCTTGGAAGATGAGTAGCAACATACCGTGTGATACTCTCCAATCCTCATTAAGTGCTTCTTTAGTGGACCTAGTCCAGTGGCTGGGAAAACACTGGTGCACATCATATCCATTAACTCAACAAACCAAGCTGTGAATCAAATGAAAGCTGAGATGTTGATATGATATGATTTAAAGCATTTGGTACATGTGAAGTGACTTCCCTTGCCTAGAAGCTGGGTCCAATGATGAAGCGATTTCTTCTTGCAAGGAGGTCCAATCACAGGTATATGTTGGCTTGTTTTTACCTTTTCCTTACAAAGCCATCTGTTTTGATGTGTTATTCCACTGGAACAAGCATGATGTGGTTTGGAAATTGAACTACAATTGGGCCTATAGTTTAGCAACTTGTGAATCACATATCAAACTCATATGGGAGCCAAGGAAAAGGATGAGATGGAAATAGAAAATTCTTGTGAGCTGACAAAGTCATTGACGTGGGTCCTCTCAGTTGTAGAAAGAGGCCCACTTTTAAAACTCATTGAAAATACCCAGGCTATTTCTTTTTTCATAACTATATAAGTATAGAACCCAAAGGAGTTTCAATTACTAGATTGAACCCTGATATTCTAGGACCCGCTTCCAACTTCTTTGACGCCAATCAAGGCTAAACTTCAGATTTTTTTATGGTCTCTTGACCATTGAAAGTAGATTTGATAATGGGGGGATTCGTAGCAAATTCTCAAGATGCAGCTGGGATTTACCAAAAGGCAGTCAGATGTTGTCCTTAGCGGTCATGTTGTAGTATATGTGAGAGATGTCGGGTTCATCCCTCATTTCAAGAACTACTCAACCGAGTAGAAGAAGAGTTCAGTTACCATCATCAACAAGGAGGCCTCACAATTCCTTGCAAAGAGGGCGCCTTCATTGATCTTACTTCTAAATTACAACAAGATAAAAGATGATTAGCTACTCAACCGAGTAGAACAAGGAGGTCTCACAATTCCTTGCAAAGACGACGCCTTCGATCTTACATCTAGATTACGACACTCTTGAAGGATGAAGATGATTTTATAGCCATTAATCAATTTCAGCACATTGTTTCTCCTAACTTGTATTCTTTGTAACTCCTGCTCAAATGTTGGGTAGAAATGCAATCTCATACCTTTTGGAATGCAAATGAGTTGGTGAATTTCCTACCAAAACTTAATACAAATAGATTTTTCAGTATCATTTCCTGTTCTTTTGCTTATTTCATTGACTCTCTGACTGTTCATTGCTATCTAAGCTGTAGAAGTCGACATTTTTCACGATTGTACATGTTTATAATCGAACAGATCGATAACAATGCAGGTGGAGTTGACAATAATGAAATGATGGATTGAATGTTGCTACAAATAGAGATTGAATTCATAGCCTTTATCATAGTCATTTATGAGACCCTCCACAAAAATTGCTCCAAAAAGCTAATATCTCATACGCAGCAGCTGCGCCTTTGTTTTTATGATGAGTAAACTGATATTATTAGCAACCATGACCATATTTGTACATTTTATACATCTCTATCAATACAAGCATCACAACTTGTTTGTGAAATAGTTGGCTTTCTCGATCTAAGTCACTTTTTTCTTGATAGTCTCTTTGGTTTAGAGCTTTATGCTGTGAATGTCTCGACATTGATCCTATTGTGCATGTAGATTTTTCAAAATAAATCGAACTGAAATGATGGTTTTGCTATTAAAACTTATTGTTAAGCAATGAAATAATTTATCTGTTCTTGACAATGCAACGGATGATCAAGCCATAAGAATAAACGAATTAATAGCATATAAATGATCTTAAAAGTAGTGTCTCATCTTTGAAGAGGTGGATGAAATAAACATGAGGCTAGAACAGCAGACAATATCTGTAGACTTGAGTTTGAGTTTTTTCAAATTTAGTCAACCCATAACCGGGTTATTTGAAATAGAAGTTTGACTTAAATTTAATTAGATTAGTTTAAATTTATTATTGTTTTTTTCAATATAATTAACCTATTTTTTAAACATTGAATTAGAGAGTTTTAGCAAATGTTTAAAACTATAAAAATTACAATTTAATTTTCTCCCTATTTGAAATTTAACTCAATTATTTTTTAAAAAAAGTCACAAATTTTTTAGAGAAGTGGTGATTTTCATCCTTCTTCCCTGTTGCCGTCGACGGTTGCGTGTGCCGATATTCAGCTGCGCCGATTCCGGCTACCAACTTCCATAACCATCAACCTTCCTGAGATCCACAGCCGCTTACATCCCCAATATCCTCTGTTTTCAACCATCGACCACTCATTTTGTATCGCCTGTTGGCAGGCAAAACAATCCCAGTGTCATTAGGGTGAAACACCTCTCCAATCTTATCTTTTGACTATCAAGATTTGGTAGTGTGATTACTTCGTGGTGGCAGAAGAGAGTTCAAGTGTTTGGTATAGTCTTCTGGATTCCTTGTAAATTTCAATTTTAGTGAATTTCTTCTCCTATGATTTCTTTTGGGTTCTGTTATGTGTTCTTTGCATTTCTTCTTCATTCCTGCTTTATCTCGTCTCTATGCAACAATATCCAAGGTGAAAGTTTCCACTGATGTCCTGCAAAGCTTATAATCGCCGAAAGCTATTCTTGGCAGCTTTGGTTATAAAAGAATTAATGGATTTATCTAAACAAGTAACTTCCCTTGTTTGATCCTTTTGACTGTTCTCTTTCTAAATTCTGTGTTGATTTCTCTTTTCAGGATTAATGTCTTAATTGGATTGATTTTATTTTTTCTTTCTTTATTGTTTTTTTTTTCAATCCTGGGTTGAGTTTGTACCTATTGAGCTATAGTTTTATTCATTAGTTTTTTTCTTGTTAGAATAAAAAAACTTATGAGGCAAAACCCCCTCAGTTGTGATAAAGCAGCAAGAGGAAAAGAAGTAACTAACAAAAATCGAAATTCATGAGCTGAAGAGTCAAAGAGTTCATATGAGAAAAAATTTACTTTCATTGCTCAAACCAAGTTACTATACAGTATCATCCTACTTTACTTCCTAGAATTGGAGGTGGCAAAACTGTGTTAAAGAATGCTGTCTTTTTGTATATTCAACTTTCATGATCTGTGCAACCTAGAAGTGAGATTTACGAAGGCATCTTCTCTGCACGGAATCGTCAAGCCGCCCATTGGATGGCAAAATCCAAACTCTTCTTCTGATCTATTTAGCAGATCTTGGAAAGAAGGATGCTTCAAGTATGATATAGGAACTACAAATCTCTTTCTTTGGATCTCTCCCACGTAGACTGCAATGTGGCCTTTGGGAACGTCAGAATGATTTTTGGCAGACATAGCTTGAATTTTCAGAATCTGCTTGGCATTGAGAAGTACTGATGGCAAACGGATTCCCATATTGAAAATTTCCTTGAAACAAGAGACGAGTGAGTGATTTTGAATGGTATTCTGCTTGATGTTGATTTTGATGTAGGAAATGGAGTACTCGTTGGATGAGAATGGCTTTGTTTCTTATGTGTATTTATAGACTAGGAACTGGAGAGAACAAAAAAAATTATTGTAAATAGTAGTCTTGGAGGACCTACTTCTTCAAAGGCTCACATGGGTTTGCTCTATCCATTAGAATTTCAGTCACTTTCTCACTGGCCCCGCTTTTTCCTTTTACAAGTGGCCAAGAAAATTTCACAAGTTTTTCAATATCTTGGAAGATAAATAGCAACATATCATGTGATAGGCACTCCAATCCTCGTGTTATAAACTCAACAAACCAAGCTGTGAATCAAATGATAGCTGAGATGTTGGTATGATGATTTAAAGCATTTGGTACATGTGAATTGACTTCCCCTTACCTAGAAGCTGGGGCCAATGGAAGCAATTTCCTCTTGCAAGGAGGTCCAATCACAGGGATATATTGGATTGTTTTTAACTTTTCCTTACAAAACCATCTGTTTTGATGCTTTATTCCATTGGAACAAGCATGGTGTTGTTTGGGAATTTAACTACATGTAGGCCTATGATTTAGCAAGTTGCATATCAAACACAAATGGGATGCAAGAGAAAGGATGGGATGGAAATAGAAATTTTGTTTGACCTGACAAAGTCATGTTCCTAGTGGTTATGTTGCAGTATGTGGAAATATCCAAAGAATGAAAGCGATTTGTGGTTCTTGTTTCATATTTGAACAATCCTTCATTCCAACAGCTACTCAACTGAGTAGAAGAGTTCGGTCACCATCATGAACTTGGAGGTCTAACAATTCCTTGCAAAGAGGATGCATTCATTGATCTTACTTCTAGATTACACCGCTCCTGAGGGCTGATGATGATGGAATAGGCATCAACCAGTTTTTACACATTTTTCCTCCTAGCGTGTTTTTTTCTTCCAACTCCTGGAAGATTGTTGTGTAGAAAGACAATTTCAAGCCTTTTGGAATGTAAATGAGTTCCTTTGCTAGTTAATTTCTTACCAACACTTACTAGACTCACAGTATCATTTCCTGTTTCTCTCACTTATTCTTTGATACTCTGTCTGTTTATTGCTGTCTGAACTGCAAAAGTGGATATTTTTTTTTGCTATTGTACATGTTTAAAATTGAACAGAAAGACAAACTTTGTATTTAAAGATGTCCAAATCCCTAAATACAGCCGCATTCTGTTCGTAGAACATAATGCAGGTGGAGTTGACACTAACCAAATCTTGAAATGTACAAATGGAGATTGACTTCATACCCTCTATGTCGTAGTAAGCTGAGATTTTCAGCAACCATGACCAGAGATGTACGTTTTCCATCTCTGTCAACATAAGCATCAGAACTTAGAGGAAAATATCTAATGCTTTTGTCTGTATAAACTATCTGCAGATTGAAATACTTCGTTCTAATATTTTTCCAAATGGTCATTACAACAGTCATCCGGCTCCTTTCAGCCAATACAATGTTGATTCCATCTGCTGTGGATGAATCTTATGACTTGTTAAGCCCAACCAACTGCTTGTAGATTCAATTTCTATGGCTGTTTATATAATATCAGCATGAGATGCTAAGGATAAAACCATCAAGCAAATAAGATGAGTGGAGAAACAGAGATGGGCAAACCTAGAAAAGATTGCTGATGATAGAGCACATGAGTTTGAGACATGTTTGAGACAGTTCTTTTCGTTGTGTGTGGGACAGTATCTTATTTACAAACTGAGTATTAAGTTAATTTAGCTGTATGGCATTTGGTTTTGGATTTTCCCTTGGATATCTTGTTTTAGATCAATAGGGCCCAGAGCAGCAGCAGCAACAACACATGAAGTGAATTTTCTCCAACCAATGGACACTCCATGTGAGCCATTAATGAAGTAGGTCCTTTCGACACCGACTCGACGTCCTTTCTTCTCACCCCTTCTCCTTCTGAATCCATATATACAGACCAAATAATCTTCAAACTCCAACTCAAATTTCTTATCGATCCTTATCCATACTTTGCAACATCAAGATTCAAATCCAGTTTAAATCTCTCATCCTGAAATCAAATACAGACATGGGAATCAGACTACCTTCACTTCTCCTTAATGCTAAGCAAGTTGTAAGAATGCAGACGGTTTCTTCAAGAAGCCAATGTGGTGTTCCAAAGGGTCATATTGCAGTCTATGTGGGGGAGATTGAAAGGAAGCGGTTTGTAGTTCCGATATCATACTTGAACCATCCTTCTTTCGTAGCTCTACTCAAGACAGCTGAAGAAGAATTTGGATTTAAACATCCAACCGGAGGTTTAACAATTCCTTGCAGAGAAGATGCCTTCCTCAACCTCACTTCTAGGCTGCATACTCCCTGAAAGAGAGGAAAAACGATCCTACACACAGTTTTGTAGAATTCCTTTCATTTTTTTCTTCTTTTTGTCACAGTTGAGGAGTAGAATGTCAATACATAGTTAGTCCAATTTGACGAAGAAGCAAAAGTTGATTCAACATCAATGTACAATTTATAATTGCAGAGATGTAAATAGAAATGGAGTCACATTTTCTTATAAAAAACTGCCTCCTTCAGCCTCTGAATTTCAGTTTGTTTAAACTCAGTCTTTCCTTGATGTTTTTCTGTGATGTTTACTCGGATGTTGGTACATTTTTTTTCATAGAAATAAAAGATCATTAAAGAAAAGAGACTAATGCTCAAAAGACACAAGCTCTCGAGAGGAAAAAGAGTATAAAAGAACCATAGAAAGCATTCCAATCCAATTCAAACATGTCTCATAAGGAAAAACCAGTAAAGAGATTAGATAAAGAACAGCAAAAAGAAGCCTTAAAATGAGCTTAATTCAAAACGGTTGATCCAAGAAAAATTCTCATCTTCAAACATCCTCTTATTTAGTTTACATTTTCTAACTTGGCTAATCAGTTGCCTCTTTCTTGAGAATTAGATGGAAATAGAAGTCTTCCTTCATTTTTATGATAAATGCTCTGTGCTTGAGTTTTGTCAAATGTCTTGTTGCATGATAAAATGAGAAAATACACAGAACTTATATCTCAAAATTCATGAATTAAATGGATAAAGTTTATCAGTGAAAGAAATATAATTTTATAGTGTGCCAACACAATTTTATACATGCTATAATGTTAAGGAAGATGGGCAAATTGAGGCTTTCTGATTTGTGCTTGATCTTACAATCACCAACTCGAAATAGGCTACCAAAGAGCAAATGTTGGCATATCTTCATCATCCGGTGGGCACTAGGATGTGAAGCTGGAAACAAAGATTCTTCCTTTGTTGACCGCTCTGGCTTGTTACTATGTCGATTGGGGGTAATTAACCACCTTTTCTATCCCTTTAGTTTCAAGAAGAGTTTTTCTAACTAAAAATGAACAAAAGAATGTTGGGATTTCTATCGTTTCAAAAACTATGTAACCTAGAAGTGAGATCAATGAAGACATCTTCTCTGCAGGGGATTGTCAACCCCGCCATAGGATGATTGTATTCAAACTCTTACTCAGCCCTCTTAAGTAAAGCCATGAATGTAGAATGGTTTTATGTATGATATCGGAATTAAAAACCGCTTTCTTTGGATTTCTCCAACATAGATTGCAACGTGACCCTTGAAACATTAGATTGGTTTCTTGTAGAAATAGCTTGCTTTTTGAGAACCTGCTTTGGATTTCTCAAAAAGCAAGCTATTTCTACAAGAAACCAATCTAATGTTCCGAAGGGTCACTTTGGATTCAGTTTGCTTTGGATCTGTTTGAACTTAGAAGTTTGAATCTTCAAGATGCTGCTTAGTTTCTTTAGTGATGTGCTATGCTCTAGCAACAATTTTTCTTTGTTCCATGGATTGCAGGTTACTATCACAAATAAAGCAACAAAGAAAAGGCTATATAGAAATTGATGTTAAATTTGTGTATTTTTTCTTATTCATTTCTGTTGGTAAATGCACCATTACAATGCCACTCATTTGCAGGCAAGATGGGCATGCCATTCTACAACATTCTAGTATGATTCAAAAAAACAAATGAGTCAGAAACAAACAGAAATGTTTGTAAAAAATTGAAGCTTGTGCTTTGCTGTTGATCCTTCAAGAAACTTGCAATCTAGAAGTGAGATCAACTAACGCATCTTCTCTGCAAGGAATTGTTAGGCCCCCTTGTGGATGATGGAAGCCAAACTCCTCCTCGGTGTGGCGGAGCAGTTTCTGGAATGATGGATGGTTTAGGTAAGATATCGGAACCATGAACCGCTTCCTTTGGATCTCTCCCACATAAACAGCCACATGACCTTTTGGAACGTCCAACTAGTTTTTGGTAAAACTTGACTGCATCTTTAGAAATTGCTTGGCATGAGGAACCAAAGATAGCAACCGAATCCCCATTTTCTCAAACGAAAGGCAGTCGGAATAATGTTCTGATCTGATTGGTTTAGAGCTAACTAGAAGAGGAAGTAGAACTTGAAATGAGTTGAGGGTGGTGTTTGAAGGCTCATTTTGATGTTTATATTTATAATATTTCAGAAGGAAATGCTATGCTGATGACTCCGACCATTCCAATGGCTAAGTGGGGTACTGATGTCTGGTAGTTTGGTATTGAGACTACCCCCTTCACATGGCTTTGCCCCATTTCATAAAAAGGCACCCAATTTTCTCTGAAATTCATACCACTAATTTCAGGCTCATTGGTCCTTCACATGGCTTTGCCCCATCTTATAAGAAAATGTTTAGCAGCCACGAGATAGAGTTGATTATCAGTCTTCGAATATGCTTATCAGCATTTCTATTAATCACATATTAGTTTAAAGCTCAACATAATTTCATTCATTCACATTCTAGAAGGCATTGCTCTTGGACTTCCTAAAACATTTTAGTATTAGTTCACAAATGAGTCGAGCAACAATAGATTCTCATAACTTTGTACTTTCCCTTTTGCTCTTCTCTCTCTAGAAAACTTGCAATCTAGAAGTGAGATCAATGAAGGCATCCTCCTTGCAAGGAATTGTGAGACCCCCTTGAGGATGCTGGAAACCAAACTCTTCCTCGGCATATTTAAGGAGCTGTTTGAATGAAGGATGATTCAAGTATGATATCGGAACCACAAATCGTTTCCTTTGCCTCTCTCCCACGTAAACTGCTACATGACCTTTCGGGACATACTGGTTTTTGGTGAAACCTGATGGCATTTTTAGAATTTGCTTGACAAAAAGAATCTGGAATGGAAAGATTCCCATTACTAAGCTTGCTGTTTCAATTGATGTGGAACAAATTTGAAGAGGAAGTAGTAAATGACTGTTTTGAAGTTTACTTTGTTGTTTACTTGATATCCTTATTTATAGTTCATGAAAATAGTTTTGCTGATGGTTGGTGCTTTTCCAATGGGCACTTTAAGACGGGCGGTTAGGTATCTAAGAGGACTATTAGGGATCTTCCCAACTTATAAAAGATTTTTCACCTCTCTCTTGGTTGTATGCAATGCCAGCCCAGTTGTTTGGTTCAAGTCATTATCCATTCCAGCGACCAATCTTGGTTAGCTGAACTGGATGCTCGAATAAAGAATGTGTTCGATAAAAGAAAAAAACAAGATACCAAGGAGATCACTTTCACAGTAAGAGAGAAATGGTTACATCATTGGCATAGTGCCCTTGTTGAATAAGGACAAGAGAGATATCAAATGCATCTTATTGTAAATCAAAGGATACAGAAGCTAAGTACATGTACACCTAGTACTTCAAGACAAATCATTTAATAAGAATCTAATCATGTTTATATTTGTTAAATGTAGTAGTTTCATCCACTTCAAACAACTTCTATAGCTGGAACTAGCTGTGCATTGGTGAGGGAAAGATGTTGGATAGAATTATGATGTTCCCACTACCATATTTTTAGTTCCTTGTTGTGTCAAATCCTGATTGTTGGAGGAAATTCAGACGAAAGTTCTATGTACTTTTTAAACTGAATATTTACAAATCTCTCCTTTCGTGGCGGAAGTGGATCTTCTGCTTCTTTCACATCAATAATCGAAGCTTGGAATCAAGATTTTCCAAATAATCTTATTTAATGACATGATGAGCTTTCTTCATTTCAGCGTCATGCAACAGTGAAAAGCAAGCGATAGAAAGTCTCATCCCTCGTGTATTTGCGCGGATCACTATCAAATGGTGATCTCATTAGATCATTAGTGAAAGAAGGATTAACGACAATCTTATCCTAAAGGAGAAGGGGGAGTAGGAGAAGTGTAACCACTTAAACCCATTGCTAGTAGATATTATCCTCTTTGGGCTTTCTCTTTCGAGTTTTCCCTCAAAGTTTTTAAAATGCGTATGCTAGGGAAAGGTTTTCACACCCTTATAAAGCGGGTTTCATTCTCCTCCCTAACCGATGTGAGATTTCACAAGAAGTCAGTCTTCTTTGAAGAAATCTGACTAACACACAAGACACTTAGATATCTCAAAATCCATGAGTGGGACAAACTTCATCTATGATAAAATTTAACATCTGCTATGCTATAGCGCACAGTCAATATAGCCTATACATGTTATAATGTACATGCAATGGGAAAATTTTCTATTCATTTACATGAACTGTCTATCTAGGCGTATTCTACAACTACGAAAAAAGAAAAAGAAAAGTTGGGCAAAACTGGTTGAGGGGGCAGAGGAATTCTTTTTTCATAATCTTTCAAGAACAATGCAGCCTTGAATGAGATAAAAGCATATCCTCTGCTGGATTGTCAAACCACCAATAGAATGATTGTATCTGAACTCTTCTTCGGCGTTCACAATCAAATACATAAGTATTAAATGATTTTGAGTATGATTCTTTAGTTAAAAAAATTAAAAGATTTCTCTCTACCCAAAAGCACAGATTAGCAATCACAGATCACCAGAAGAAATGATATATAGAAGTCTATGCTGAATTGGTCTATTTTCATTTATCCTGTGGTATAAGTAACTTTACAATGCAACTCATTTACAGGTAGGAAGGTTTCCCACTCTACAACAATCTAGTTTGTGTCGAAAAGTAAATGAGTCGGAAAAAAAATTGTCAAAAACGGCAGATGATTGTCCTTTCTTCTGCATCCTTCAAGATACTTACAATCTGGAGGTGAGATCAATGAAGGCATCCTCCTTGCAAGGAATTGTTAGACCCCCCTGTGGATGATGGAAGCCAAACTCTTCCTCTGCATGGCTGAGTAGTTTTTGGAATAACGGATGGTTTAAGTAAGAAATTGGAACCAGGAACCGCTTTCTTTGGATCTCTCCTACATAAACAGCCACATGGCCTTTTGGCACATCCAACTGACTTTGGGTAAAACCTGACTGCATCCTTAGGATTTGCTTGGCATGAGGAACCAAGGATAGCAATCGAATTCCCATTTTCTCAAAAAGGACTCTTAGAAAGGTCTAAAGCTTTGATCTGGTTGGTATAGAACCTGTAAGAGAAATCAACACTTGGACTGATGAGTTGAATTTGGTGTTTGAAGGATCATTTGATGTTCAACTTTATAGAGTTTTGGAAAAAAGAGTTGTGCTGTGAGCGATGGTATTCAAATGGCAGAGTGGGGTATTGAAGTCTGATGGTTAGGTATTTGATTAGGCCGTTTCACATGGTTTTGTTCAACTTAGAAAAGACACACCAATTTCCTTCTCTCTCTCTTCACATTCTCCGCTGTCACACCACAAATTTCCATTTTCATTGGCTAAGTTGTTCGATTATGAAAAGTCAAATCATTGTTGAAGCTTTTACACTGAATTAAATGCTTACAGACAGAGTGCATTATGTTGAAAATGGAAGAACAGAACCTCCATGTGAATGGCTTTCCATGAGAGAGTGACCAGCTACGTCAATGTCTAGGTCAAAGGAGACTCTGGGGGCTTTTTATGTACCAAATTGTGGACCATATCAAAGAATGGTTCTCATTAAGGAGAACTAAAAGACCAAGTCAAAGTACATAGCTTAGTCAAAAAATGCTAACTCTTAGAGGCATAAATCATCCATAAAGTTCTACCATCATTTTCAGCCTCAAGCACGTTGACTTGTTTATTGTGAGCATAAAGCATGCACATCTAAATATTGTCAGATTTAATATATCAGGTTTACACCAGAACACATATCTTGTCTGGTTTTTGAACCTATAAAAAATTGGGTTTCCCCTATCTTCATATGGGATCGAGCAATTTGCTCTTATTTCTTCATAACAAGCGGCTGCATTGTCTTATAAGACATTCCTTTGTGAAATGTATACTATACTGATCAAATTCCCTATTGAAAGAAAATCATTGATGCTTTATCTATTTTTCGATATTCATTTCCTCTATACAGTGTGTAATCTCTTTGATCATTTGGCACAACTAAGTCTTTCCTTTTGTCATGAATTGGTTCAAATTCAGCTCAGATTTGAGCATTTTCTCTACACTGATCACTAGGAGCACAAAATGATCATTTGGAGCTTAGTATTTCCTACCATTTAAGACACGAGAGAGCTTGATAAACCTTTCTCCATACTGATCATTAGGAGCACAAAATGGCATCCATCCAACTTAGATTTTTTCACAATTCAAGAATGTCTACCTATCTCTCATACGGTACTTCAGCTTTCTTCCTCAAATCTGAATACTAGATTCTGCACAAATTGATAGAATCTAGTTCAAACATATGTAGCTTCTCAACCTTTAAGCAAGTCCAACAGTCGGTTAACAAACTCTTCCTCTGGACCCAAAGTAATTGTGCTAGCCTTGGAGAGAAGGCTACTAACTTCATCAATCTTAAGCTGTGGCTAGACCATACAACCTCTTTCAAGTCTGTTGATCCATGTACGAAAAACTGAGATTCCTGCTATGCAAATTTCTCAACCATTCCATGTCTTGGATGAATTCGTACTGAGATTCCTGCTATGCAAATTTCTCAACCATTCCATGTCTTGGATGAATTCCTACATAGCCAACAAAATACTAAAAGAGCAGCTGGTTTAAGAATGAAGCTTGAATCAAGAATTATCTCTCTGGTTTTCTCCAACAATAACTCATGGCTACATCCATAGACTTCAAAGCATTGAAACTTCCTACAAATGGAAGTCAAATTTGAATCGACATAAACTGGAGAAGGCACCCTGCTCTTTTAGTATCCAATAAGAGGGAAAACGTAAGATGCAAGAATTCCTCAAAACTCTTAAAACGAGAACAGAAAATATGAAGTTTGTGAAAACAACTTTATAGGCTCTTCCAATAATATCAGCACAGGATGCTACGAACAAAACATGCCAGGAAAGCAAAATGAGTGGAGAAAATGGACATGGTAAGCCAATTGAGACAAAGACCATTGATGAGTGAGGAAATGAATTTGATTTCATGTAACAGATAAGTCAGACCTATGGAGAAACATTATGCACATCTCTTATTACACACCAGCAAACATGTATTAGACAATTCTAAATGGTAAACCTTTAAGATCATAGCAAGCTTAAGACAAGCATTATTCTTGTGTCTGAGAAAATTTACAAATGCATTGGCATCTCATTTATTGTTCTGATTAGTCTATTATCAAGAAGAATTTATTCCTGTTTCTGTCCCTCTAATATATATATTTCCTCTGGATTGGATCAGAGATGCAGCCAATGACCGATGGTGTAAGCTTGCAAAATGGACCCACGGTAAGTTGATCTACCACGACATGGCATTTGGATTCGAAGTTTTCTTGACCTGTTATTTTGGACTATAACTGCATTTCATTGTAACAAATGGGACTACTCAGTAGTTTGTTAGGGCACATGATGAAGTGCGTCTATTCAAACCAAATAAGCAACCCATGTGAGCATTTATGAAGTAGGCCCTCTTTGAGACCAACTTGATACTGTTTTCTTCTCACCACTTCCCCGCTTTGAATCCATAAATACAGATCAAATAAACTTCAATCTCCAACTCAAAATTCAAGAACATCTTCATTCAAGAACTGCACTTTCCAACTTCTTGATCTGCATCGAGCTGAAAACCTTTCTAGACATGGGAATCAGACTACCTTCACTTCTTCTCAATGCCAAACAAGCTGTTAAAATGCATACCGCTTCTTCCAGAAACCGGTGTGGCATTCCCAAAGGCCATATTGCAGTTTATGTGGGAGATATTGAGAGAAAGAGATTTGTAGTTCCAATAGCATACCTAAATCATCCTTCTTTTTCTGCTTTGCTCAGCAGTGCAGAAGAAGAATTTGGATTTAATCATCCAACTGGAGGTCTTACAATTCCTTGCAGAGAAGATGTCTTCATCAATCTGACATCCAGGCTGCAATCTTCCTGAAAGAGAGAAGAAAAACAATACTCCACA